AATATCTCGGTATATAATTACTATCTGCTAATCTTGTATTAAATTCTAAGTGGTCGTCTGTGAGACGAGAACGATATGTTGTCTTAATTAGATTCCTAGATGAAAATGCAGATTCACACAGGTAGGTAGGGCCAAAGGGCCCACCAGCGGCCGAGCGGTAAAGACGCTGAACACTGGTAGTTCGGTCCGAGGTTCGAATCCCGCGAACGGTCTGGCTGCATGGGCGTTTTCGTGGTTTTCCCCATGTGTAACGTGTATACGAGCCAGTTCCCTTAGAAAGTCCTCCACGAAAGGCATCCCTCCCCTTAGGCAGATAGCCCTAGTGTGCTTTGCCATAATTAAATACACCACACCAGGTAGGGCCAAAGAACGATGTTAAATGAACTGTAACGTTTTTAAAATTAGGATACCTTACTTCCTCCATTAGATTCCAAAAGTTATTCTTAGGTCCCAAACAACATGCTTTTAAAATTATGTCATTTTGAAGGAGTCAAATGTTAGTCAAGAGTTACTCAAGAGGTAAAGAGAATATATCACTTATATTTTCAGTTATTTCTTCCGCATCAACACTGCCAAATGGGTAACATATGAATTTAACAATTGGTTATAGTCTAGTAAATTCTTGAAAACGTCTTTCAAATTCGGAGTGAAGTTTTATTATTTCATCATAATATTTCTCTTTGTTTAATATACCTCCGTTTTTTAACAACTCGTCAGAAAATTTTCTAAAATTTTTTAGTTCATTCTTCATCACCTGGGAAAATATTAGCGTTTGACCACTTGTTCTTGAAACATGACCACTTGTTTGAAAGAATTAACAAATCCAATCAATTCTAGTATTGCTTGATATTTTCCTTACAGTTATGAGTTCACTTCATTAAAATGGCTTGTTATATGAACATCAAAAGCTAAATCCATCAACCAAACGCCATCACTAAGTTTATTATCATTTGATTCCAAAAAATCTTTTACCTCTTGTAAAAGGTCCCTTAATCTTTGTAAAAATGTACTCGACTTAACCAACGAACATCCGCATAATGTAACAATTGCCCGTAATCAGATTCGTTTTCTTCTAATTGGGACCGAAACATTCTTCTTTATAGACTCCTTCCTCGAATTGAGTTCACAGTTTTTATGCAGATTCTCATAACATGACGCATATTTAGAATTTTATAAGAGAGGGCCTGTTGGTGAATACTGCAATGATAAGAAAGGAATGCGTTAAGTCATCGTCTCTGATAACACATAGCCAAAAAATCCATTGACTGTGCCGGTCGTTGATGGGGCCCCATCAGGTGTCATCGATACAACTTTATAATTGGAATTTTTTTCTCCTCTAAATATTTTTTGAAAGCGCAGTAAACATCTTCACCTCGTGTTTTCTTCTTAAGTAATATTGTTAATAATTATTCTTTTGCACTCATATCCTTAAAAACCATTCTTATAAAAATGCAAAGTTGAGAAATATCAACCATGTCCGTAGATTCGTCCAACTGCAAGGAAAAGAAATACAGTTAGTTGTATCTGTGGCCAGCTGATCAGCCAGATCAAAATTTGTCATTTCTACATGGATTGTGACAGTTCTATGCGAAAGTTGTACGTCTTTAATTGCGGAAATTCGTTCTTTTCTTTTTCCCTTGAATGAATCAAATAATGAATCGCTGGCTTCCAGAAACGCTTTTTTTAATCATTTCTCTACATGCAAAAGGTTTCTTATGTTTTATTAACACATGACTCGCACGAAAAGCTGCAGTTATTGCAGCCTTAGATAAAGTATTAGATTTAATGAAATATGATTGTTGTACGATTAATTGAGATTTAAATTCTTTTAACTTTTGCTTACGCAATTCGCTTTTTAACGGAAAATCTGTATCAAAACTTCCATGCATATTTTTGAAATGCCTTTCAAGGTTTCCTTTTTTTTTGAAAGTGCCACAATTGCGTGACATAAATAGTACACACATTTTGCATTCACCATTGCCACTATTTTTACTGCAAAAGTATAAGTAACACAAAATTGTCAACTTGAATGTTTGAAGAACTTAAGCGATTTCTGGACCGTGGAGCGTGGGCGTATTCAATGCACCGAGCAGCGAACATATGTAAACCGATGAATTTGTAACTGAAGTATGTACTTAAGGGTCGTCGTGAGCTTGTAATGAAGGTATATGTGTCTTCTATACATTGATCGAATCATTTGGTTAAGTAAACGCAGTCGCATCGATTGTGAAAACCCAATTCTTTAGTCTAGCTGGCGTCGGTGTTCCATAAATATGTTTCCTTTAGTGTGCGCATCTTAGGTCTTAGTAAAAGCGGTCATTGCAAAATATCCTGGAGGTCCACCGATCGATCGCGATGGACTTAATGCCTACCTTTATCTTACAGAAACAATGAGCAAATGCACGCAGAGATTTTTACGCTTGACTAAAGTGTTACTAAGTTTTATCAGCAAAAGTAAGAATATAAATTTAAGTATACCAATTATTTATTAAAAAAAATCTTTTCTCTAATGTAAGAAAGAACTCACTAAGAAATTGCGAATTGCATTACTTTGGTATTTAAAGTACGTAGAATGAAAACAAAATGCAGTGCTATTTTTAGATATTTTAATAAGAAATGTTCTAAAATTTGGCCGGGATTGTGCGAAAGCTAATGTGGCAAGTAACATTTTCTTTCCAATGCAAGTGGATTTGAATATCTTTTGTGCTTTGCACTTTAATATGGTTAGTAAGTGGATTTCACACTAGAATTTACAGAAGAAATGTACGTTGTAATTCCATTATCCTAGATGCAAACAATTAACATTGTGTAATCATCTTAAATTCACATGAAGCAACACTGTATGGAGAAACTGAGTCGGAGTAAAACCCAGTAGGATTAATGCCTATTCTTATAGAATGGCAGATCTAAGTTCACTGAGGCTCCTGGCAAGTGGCTGTTGCATTTCCGTGTTCTTTGATATTCAAGATGGCTGAAATTACCAAACTGGGCTACCCGATCTAATCAACAGATAACTTCAATATCATGTTATTCAGCCATTAGTTTAGCTTGAGAAGACCTGTTATTATTATCTATTAGCAAGAAGTCTGGGTCTATAGTTTTTACAAGGCTTTACGTGAGATGCGGAATCTCACCAATGTAAGCTATAAACAGAGACGCTATTTTTAAAACACGCAGATCGCTGAGTTTACCTTCTGCTTAGTAAACTACCGTCGATATTTCATAGAAATTCTACGGAATGCTGCCTGCTACAAATTCTGTCAAGAAAAATGTACATTCAGAATGAACATTGACGCATTTATGAAGACAGTTCAGGACTAATCGTTTTGGGATCTACATTGCTTTCTTCTTCTCTCTAATTTTCTTCACGTGCCTTATTTGTAAATGAAGATAGACCAGGTAAATGTTTTCTTCTTCGATAATTTTGAATTTGTATACATCTTCAGAGACATTTAAATTGGCACTTGTGCTTTAAAAACAAATTCCAAACATATTCTTCAGGTTTACGTGCTAGTGTCTGTATAAAAATGGTTATTTGAAACTTATATACTGCATTTTGTGTTCACCTTAAGAGGATGTCGGGTCGATTTTTCAAAATCAAAATATTGCCTTTGAGTGATGTTTTTAATGAACCTTTAAGGTAAAATAATTTTGTAAATTCATTCTTTCTGTTTATTAGTTCGAGATGTAACTACGTTAAAAAATGACAATTAATTGTTGGATCTTTTGATAATAACTATCCTTCAGTTTACATAACTAAGAAAGGTTGCTACTACGAAAGTTTTATCTAGATAATTGTAAATTACATTAATTTTGGCAACAGTTGGAGAAAGAACTTCATAAACATTTGCTGAATTACAGATTAAAAATGATGCTAAAATGTGCACGAAAGATGGCTTTTCATGTTTTATCATTTTAGGCCCAAAAGACTTGTTTCAACATCTTACTCAATCCAAAGACTGCGGAAGTTGGACATGTTACTTCACGATAAGGACTGAATTATCATTGCGAAGCGAACATTACAAGAAATACAGAAAATAAATGTGAATTAACAAGATTTGGGGTTAAATAAGTAAAAGGACTTCAAGACGTGTCTCGAAGGCCGAATTATACATACGTCTAAGTTGCTAGTAAGATAATGGATCAAAGCGCAATTCCAGAACATGAATGTTCAAAAAGAATTTTTTGAAGTATTTCGGCGAATAAAGAATACTTTTTGTATAATTTTGACAGCAAAAATTGGAAATTGCGATTTTTTGCTCAATAATGTTGTACAATGGATAATTTCAGAATTTCTTTTCTCTGAATGTAAACTCGCATTCCTCGATGGGATATTTAAACGATGGCTTAGTTTGACTAGTGTATAATAGACTACGCTTCCAAAAAAATACTGTTACTGCCACATAAGTTCTGGGATACAGCCAGGAATTTAGTTTATATTTAATTTTTTTATACAAACTTCCTACTACGAGTTTTAAAAGTCGACTTGATTTTGTAATTTTAATCTACTTACCGGATTGCTAGTGCGATATATGAAATGTAAAAAATTCGAAATTCTCTACTTTGAAAAATTATCATCTGATTTCTTTCATAATTTGCTTTTGTTCATTATAAGTGCATAAGATATGCGATATTTAAGTCTGTACTTATGCAGTCAAAATTGCTGTGATACTATAGATATCTAAGTAAAGAATTAAAACTTTGGTGTAATGTTTACATAATAATGTATATTAGAATTATTCAGTTGTTTTTTACTCGTTTCTTTTGAAATTACAAGTACTTATAGAAAACATCCATAAAAGCTGATTTTCAAATCAAACCTAACGTGAAAGGAAAGCCATTCCATTTACTGCCGAAAGTTATGGATTGTGACGGTTTCACGATTCTATATTCCATTAAAAAAAGGTCCAGAAGTTCGGTTTGCCCTAATAATAACGTAATTAGAAATATTTAAAGAACATATAATACAGCAATAATGGAGGAAAAGCTGAATTACTCACAGCTGGTCTTGCTTTATATCCGTTGACGAATTGCGGCTCAGTTTTCTAGTGAATCTGCGGTATGTCTTGTGCACTCTGCAGTGGCATACAGTTACGACTCCGAGAACTATCAAGCAGGCTCCTGCAAGTGTAGCAGCAGCGATATATAGATTGTGCAGATGATCTAAAGGTGCACTAGCAGGTCCGATGGTAGCACTGCGGTATACTGACGTGTCCTCTAAGGTGTGGGCCATAGGCATCCCTGGATAACGTAACTCTGAAACAGATGTCAGATCTACGGTGCTTTAGGTAAGATATCTAACTGTACAAAAGCAGAAAGCTATTATTGCATATAATTTAATAAAATAAGAATGAAAAAAACATATGTCAAATTATAACAAACGTTTGCTGGAAGTTAAGCGTTTGAATTACGGACTTCCGTTTGCTTGAAATAAAAATGTCATTTTCGGTTTCCTCCAATTAATAATAACATACTTATTCGGCCCAAATAATTTTCAGCAAATACTTATTTTGTAAATGTTTTGCAGAGCAGGTGGCGGAAAGAATGGGAATTATTACGAAACAAATTGAACCTTGACGTCTATTAAAACATTTCATACAAAAACTACTACAGAATTGAAAGAAATATGCTGAAATAAGTATAATGAAAATAATTCTCGAGAAGCAGAGTTCAGGAGAATGAAGTGACTAATCGTGTCTCAAAATAAGATTTTTAAATTTTTCAAAAGGTTAGAACGGAAAATAACTGAAATTGGAGGCATTTACGAATTAATCATTGCTCGAATTATGAAACTGGCAAACTCATACCAAAGAAATACACTAAAATATTTGTAGGCCTGTCAGTTTGATAATGGGAATAAACTAACTGCTTATATGTATACGCATTAACTAATAGTAAATATTTAATGACTCTAAAAACGATTTCTGTAGGTATTTGGTTTTTGACAAACTGATTTATTGTGATATTAGAAGTTTAAGAAATTTGTACGAAATTTTTAGTTTAGGATTCAGACGCAGAAATTTAGTTTAGTTAAATATTTAGCACTAAACACGTAAACAGAAAATGCGTGCTGACCATAGATCTGTAACATACACTGCTCAAAACAATTATTGTGTATTGTAAGCTCGGTATGAAATAACGATATATTGAAAATTTTTTTAACAAATATTAAATAGAAGAGCTTGAAAAGGAAAATTATAACGTTTTCAAAGTTGAGGATATGCAAATTTTGCCCTTCTGTAGGAGCAGTTAAAAATTATTTGACTTGTGCTGAATGTCATTCATCTATCTCTCAGCTAGATGACTTATCTGAATCGGTAGCCTGGAGGGCATCGGTCGTTTAGAGGCGTTCAAACGCAATCCGTTGTAGTGGAAGTGTTAGGAGTTTCTCAAAGTGTCCAGACAATGGTTGATTTTCGAAACTAGAAATGTTCGCCGAAGATCAGAAAAAGGTCGTACTTCTGCAGCAACACAAAATGAGGATCGGTATTTAACAGTAACGGTCAAAAGAAACCGCAATATGAACGCCACTTTCTTGCAACAGCACTTTCAGAGGGCTACTGGAACCACAGCTTCGACTCAGACTGTTCGAAACCCATTTCGCCATGTGGTTTGTTTGTTCGCAGACCTATAGTTTGTGTTTCGTTGACACAGGACCAACGTGTTGCCCGCAGAAGTTGGGTACAAGAGTATCTAAGCTGGAAACGAGATGAGTGGAGCATTGTGCTCTTTACGGACGAATCCCGCTTTAATATACAACCTGACAATAGGCGGATTCTCGTCTGGAGAGAATCTGGTATACGAAATACTCCTGCATTTGTGTACTAAAGTGTCAGATTTGGCGGAGGCGGAGTGGTAGTCTGGGCCGGTATGCCTTCTTACGGCATCATTTCATTTAAAAAAAAACACTGAAGCACACTGGTCCGGGTGGTCAGCCACCCTCAAGAGAAGTAAGCTCGCATTTAATCAGATTCATCGAGTGATGGACATTTGTGCTCGTGAATTCTGTTGAACAGAAGTGGTGTCAACAGCAGGTACAGCAGGCAATTCTAAACCAACAACTACAGAAGATTTAGTAGCTTTCATAATTCTTACTTTACAAATTCGGTATCTTACTATGTACGATAATGTTCAACTACTCAAATTAGGACAATTTCAGACACTCAATTGGCATGTTATTGTACCTTTATTTCGTATATGCATGACAGCCATGTTTAGTGCAGTACATGAATAACTTTGCTGGGACATGTTAGTTCCTAGATGCAGATTACCACAATCAATGTCTGTCTATTTGTACTTCAGTGTCGCTTCTATTCATTATTAATCTTTAAATTTTATTGTGTTTACGTAATTTGTTATTTTATTCTGTGTATTTCAATTTACATATTGTCTTGGTGTATTGACCTGCTAAGTAGTAAATGCAAGTAAGTGCGTTGTGTTATTTTTTCAAATAAGTTTGCGGTATAATAGTAAATACATATATAGAGCTATCGGCTAGTACCAAGAAATATTGGGTGCAAATGTTTTGTTACAGTTTCTAGTATTGTGCAAAATGTAACTGTTTGTAACAAATATTCGTAGGCGCAGAGCTAACTTTCTGATAAGCACATTGTATATTGATTGTTATTTTGTAGTATTCACCATTTTATTTCAGTGTATGTACAGTATTCCATTAAGTGTGTAGTATGATTTCTTTTCTATTAATGTGGAGTATAATAGTTAGTTTAGTGTTGTATAATGGTAAGTAAGTGTGATGTATAATAGTAGTATTGAACCAGACTTTCTTGTTTGTAGAACTTTGTAAATATGTATTGAAATATATTGTTGGATTTAATGTTTTGAATTGACTCAGCATTCTAGTTCTGCTAAAATATATTATCTTCCTAATTTTCACTGTGACGGCTTCCAAAGGTGTTCTTTTGATTAGTTTTAGGTTACAGTACAGCGTCATGTACAGAATTGTCTACTTTTTTGATACGAGCAGTGTATATGGTGTGTTTTATTTGTAATATCAGCTTTACTATGTCAGTGTGTTGTTCAGTATTCTAGTAATATATTGCATAATATGTTTTCTAGTAATATGTGGAATAATAGTAAGTGTGATGTATAACTGCAGGCTTGAAATTCCATTGTTAGCTTTGATTTTACTGTTTTAGTTTACTCTAACCAGTTATGTATCAATGCAGCTCTGTGCTTCTAATTATTATTTTTTTAATCTATGCAATAAAGAATGTCATATGTTTTCAAGGTAGTCCTTTGTATCCCCTATCTAGATGTGACTCTGTAATCTTTTTTTTTTTTTTTTTTTTTTTTTAAATTTAGACTCAATAAATGCTGTTATGGCTTCTACAAGGCGAACATCATACTGCAAGGGCTTGTTCCCGGTCAGTAGTCCTCCTTAGCAGTGTAAAAGTCTGAGCCGGTATTCCTATCAATGACCGCACCGACCTACACATTATCAGGAATGGAGCCCTAACGGCTCAGCGATATAAGAATGTGATCCTCAGACCCATTGTGGTCCTTTACGCTGCAGCAATCAAAGATCAACTGATTCTCATTGGTGAAAACGCCAGACTACACCATGCTCAGCTAGTGAAGAATTTCCTTTTTGACGAAGAAATCCTTCGAATAGATTGGCCAACATGTTCCCCTGATGTGAAAACAATCGAAAATATTTGGGACATTCTAGGGAGAAGGGTTGCTAGTCGCTTATCACCCTCAGAAATAATTCAGCAGTTTGAAAGCTGTCTTCTATAGGGAGTGGGAGAAAATAAACTCAGTCCTTCATTGATAACCTCACTGATTCCATGCCTTGTAGGTGTGCGATATTGTTTTCGATCAGAAAACACCGTACTCCTTATTGAAACTTGTTTGTAATCAAGATATCACATTTTTTGTTTGTATAATATACACGAATCGTGCATTTTTTGTTTACCGACAAATATCGTCAATAACGGTTAATTATCCCTTGTTCGTTGTTTCTTTTTCTTTTCTTATATCTTACAACACCTATACATCATGTAAGAGTCACCAAAACATTTCCTCATCGGCAGTTTATATCCAGAATCATAATATTCCCTAACTGGTTTTCAGCAGTGTATTTTTATAAAATTTTGAAATTATGTACTGAATACTTAAGATGTATTATTTTTCGAATACCGAGATACTGTGTAGCTGAAAGGCAATCTTGAAAAAGCAAAACCTATTCTTACACATATTTATATTACTTGAAGTTATGTGTTATGTACTTATTTTATTAGTAATATCTCAGAGAATATGTTAATATCGTTACATTAACTAAAAGTAACCTGAAGAAATGAACACATTTTTATAAATGCCAAGATGTGAATATATTTTTGATAGTAATACTTGATTTCATATTTTTATAGGTTATATTTTATATTACCATTTCACAAACTAAGCTTTTATTTAACTTAAATCTAATGAAAAATCTGAAATATGATAGCTATGAATATCGAAATGTATTTATCATTACATTTGTAAAATAATGATGGTATGTTTGAAGTATTAAGAAATTCATATAATTAATGACATTTTGTTTGTTTCGTTGCAAAATCCTTTACTATTATTTGACAAAAAACATCTGAAATTACTTTACATACATATGCATGTGTATACCATTGGCATGCATGTTACATGGCTACTAAAATTTTAAAATCCACGAACACATTTTTCTTTTTAAACATTGAGAATGTAATCAATGTACAGTCTACATTTTTAGCATTATAATTTAGATTATTAAATATTGCTCTTTTACAGTTCTGCTTTATGGGTGACATTCCGTTTTATCATTACAATACGATCGTTCCATTATACCACAGTAATATCTCACCAGATTTATTATAAGATATTTTAAAAGTTATATTCGTTTATTTTGTCTCTGTCTGACTTTTAATTGAACCTTATGAACAAATTATGAATGAAATATGGCAGAATGGAAGTTCATTTTATCAACAAGGTTGTTTTAAAAACAAATTATGTTTGTAATAACAGCTTTGAAATTTTTCACTGTTAATTAATAACTAGCCTCCAAGTGCCTATCCGTATTTTATGCTTAATATATGTAAGTCTGGTTACAGCCGAAAACATCACGGCAAAAACGTACCGGAGGAAACAACGCAAGGTGAAAATGTCGTGGTACAAAACATCGTGGTAGAAAATAAAGAAAAGAGAAAACATCATGGTACAAAATATCGTCGTCGAAAATAAAACGGTTCAAAAACTTCGCAGTTTAAAAACATCGTAGTCGAAAATATCGCGGTAAAAAATAAAGTACCTACAAATCATCACAACATCGCAGACATGCGTTTCTCAGGCTTTAATAATTGTAAATGGATTTTTCTCATAATGATTTGTAAGCACAATTTGGAATGAAGGATAATTTTTACTTTCATATTTTTTATGAACTAATAAATTTATAAAAAACAAAACAAGAAATTTGAACGAAACAAGAAATCATTTTCACTATAAGAGTATAAAATTAGCAAAAAGAGAAATTATGACTAGAATAGTTGAAAGTTATTTTAAAGTACACAAGGAGCTCCTTTGTACTACCTACCATTACACAAATTAATTACCACCTTAGTGTTTTGATTTATGAAATTTACTTCATCTCATCAAGGAATCTTTTCAGGTGTAAGGAAACTTTTCATTCGAGCATCAAGGAAACTATTCATTTCAAGCACCAAGAGTATAATGGACCAAAAGTTTTTTTTTTCTACAATTTTTTACAACAAAAAAAATTACTTCGTTTTCATGAGAGTTTAAAGTAATTTAATTTTTTGATTGGACATGGCAATTTTAAGAGCTATTTATAGCGATTTGGACATGTTTCAAGTGCTTTGTGCAGCTCCGGTAGCGGCGATGAAGATGTAAAGAATATTCTTGTTGATTGCGTTCATCATGTCTAGCAGAAGATGATATTTCAGGTAACTTTGATGCGCCTGTCTGTATCTTGGCCACCAAATTTTCTGGACTATTTCAGACTAAAGGAAAGTTTCTGCTTTTCGGAACTTCATTCTCAGTTTAGATTATTGAGTTCTCTTTATTGCATCACTTTTTTTATTTTATTTTTTAATTAATTTTTTAATAATTTCCCCCCCCCCATTTGCAGTGCTATTGTGCAGTTATTTCTTTATTTTGTTAGTGCGATAACTTACTTGTGTAAGCCTCGTGGTGTACTTTGTGGAACACGAGGAGCTGAAACTATAGTTAACAAAAAAAATTACATTTCAAAATAGTGAGAGAAACAAGTCTCTGAAGTTTACAGAAGTATTTAGAAATGTGATAATCTCAGCAACGAAATCAAAATTAACAGATATTTTTGTATGATTGCATGAATTTTAATGAAATGCATTCCCTTCAGATTTCTAGATCGTAAAATTTGGTATGATTTCTAAATAGGCTTTATTCAATATTATTCGTAAGAGACCTACATTATTTGCAAAAGGAATGAGTTTATTAACAATAATTAGCTTCTAGTTTATTATAGTTTGAACTAATAGCATGCTTATTAATTAATTAAAATTAAATTCGAAAAAATTGTAAAACACTTAAATAGGTAATAATATTTCGCTTCTATTTGTATTTAGAATGATATTTATAATGATTGAATATTTTATGGGAATTATTATGATATAAGGACTGAAGTATTTGCAGGTGAAAAAAACTTTATTCTAGAATTAAAACAAATGTTTTCGTGGATATTTCTAAATTATGTTGAAGAGAGAATATTTATTTACTTTTGTTACAAATGAACAATATTACTAAATGGCATGTATTATTAAAGGTTTTCATGCTTACCTTCACATGTATCTCCTGTATATCCAGGGCGGCAAGAGCAAAAGAATGAGTCCAGGCTAGGCCAGCAACTACCTCCATTTTGGCAAGGGTTTGGAAAACAAGGATCATATTGTTGAGTACATCCGGGACCTAGAATGTTATGATCATTAAATACAAATATAAAATTATTTATTTGCTTAGTTTCATATATTGTTTGTCAGCAAATTTACTATCATCGACGAAACAAGTTGTTTAGTAGTGAAGCTTTAACATCCTGTTGTATATTTACAGCGTTTTTGAAGATAGTTTTATAAAATTATTAAATTGAAGTACTATTATGTCAATTATTATTCAAAAATTTCTGTAAATTTTGAAAAAATAGAAATTATAGTATAATATAAATAAGCCTTAACTTCCAAAGAAGAAATAGGTTTTCTATTATTCAGAGGATTAATTTTTTATGTTTTAAAAGCCATAACAAATGTAACAATGACTGATATCTTCTTCAATAGTTATTGAAAAATGGCCTAATATGTTTTAAAAAAGGAGTATTACTGATAAGAAATATCAATAATCTACGAAATAACAAAATATTTGACATAACATTTTGGGTAACTATAATAACCGTAATAATAACAACGAGCACATGGTTAAAAAAACTTCAACGGATTTCCTTTGAAGAAAAATTGGCTTTAGTTTATGAACTTAGAAAACTGAAGTTGATATATTCGTAAAATTTGGGTATTAAGGAATGCGCTAAATATTTGTAAAAGTTTATCTGTTATGTATATCATAAATCAGGTGAATTATATATATTTTAAATTACACCAGTTAAAACCTATTAAAGGAATAAAAACATAAACTATTATGAAATATCTATATTACTTTTGGACGGAATTTTTGGAATATTTTTGGATTATTTTTGGAATCAGGTGAATTAGATATATTTTAAATTACATTAGTTAAAAACTTATTAAAGGAATAAAAGCTTAAACTATTATGAAATATCTGTATTACGTTTGGATTTATTATTTATTAAGAAATGCCTTGTTTTAATTTAAAAATTAAATTAAAGATCTTATAGAACGTCCAATGATAATGTGAGAGGACATGCGGGTGTTAAATGAAAGCTATTATGCTTCTGGAATCGTAGCACTTACTAGGTCACGTGGTAGTCTAATATACTTAAGCTTTTAACTATAAAATTCAAATCAAACAACTTACATGTAACTGCTAAAATTTTCTGTGATTTTAGATTTTAGCGTACATTGAGTGAGAAATGCATATTTACTGATGCAGTTTAAGATATTTGAGAAAACTTTGTAACTAATTCTTTCTTAAAGAACTAAAAACGTAACTGAATAACATGGAATAATTATCGGTTTCAAACATAAAAAGAAAATCAGATCCTGAGCCATGGATATTCTAGGCCATGTACATTATGAGTCAAACTCTAAAAAGATTAAAAAGAAATATTTTTTGATTAAATATGTCTCAGCGTCACAAGTTAGAAGGAACTACTTTGTGCTCTTCGTTATTAACACTTCTGAGGAATTTTCATAGTTATTAATTGTAATAAACACTGTGTTGCAGCCATTAATACACCCTCAGGGTAGTTATGTGATTATAGAATTTATGAAGGAAAGCTTAAAACTCTTATTTGGTGTGCCCATTTCTTAGAGTAACGCTTACGTTCATTCCTGTGCATGTGAATCTGAAATAAATGTGAAAAGAAATTTTTGTCACTTAGTTGAAAACCGCAATTCCAAAAATTCATTGATTCAGTTATTTAGACATTGTTAAAGTAAGATAATAGTTTTTCACGTAACCAATATTCCTCTAATTTCCTTTGCCAAAATCCATAATGCTCAGTTTATTAAAGCTATAAGATCTTTATTTTACTTTTCTTCTTAGAAACAAAGAAACAAACAAAAAAGAGCAAGGTATATTATAACAGTTCTAGAACGCACATATACCTGTAAATTTACTGATGAAAGCAGGTGAAAATACATTTTAAAATTTACGGAAAACAAGGTACTGAAAAGAAAAATGACATTTTACGTAATATGTGTTTTAGAGTTCGGGTGTGAGGTTAAATGGGAAAGTTAATTATAACTTTATAAATGAACTTAATTATAAGAAGAACAACTTATAAAATAATTGTATACTTCCGAATTCTAAGAAAAATATTTTAATTTATAACATTGATTAATCCAAAATAATATAGCTAAAATTTAAATGTATTTTTTACTCTGAATTCTCTTTTGCTTCTGCGATATATCGCACAGAACACACAAAATACACAATAATCGATTATTTAGTCATTAATGATGCGCGTTATTAATAGCATATTATGAATCATTCACTAAGTAGAAAAGTAAAAACCTATGTAAATCTTCAAATTCTAATAACACCTAATATATCTCCGATTCTTATTAGGTCAAATGCGCATCAAGTTTAGACCCTGATTCAACACGATCGATAACAGAATGGAAGTGGAGATCATAAATCATTTTACACAAGTTCTGACTAACCATTGTAACCGGGGTGACATATGCAGCTGTAATTGTTTCCTCTGTCAACGCAGTGTGCCGGAGGGGGGCACGGATTAGGCTGGCAAAGATCTACTTTCACTTGGCAACGCCGTCCTTGGTACCCTGGTCCACAATGACATCGATATCCTGCTACCAAATCCTCACAAGCTCCTCCGTTGATGCAAGGACTCGAATCGCATTCATCATATTCAAACTCGCAGTGATCCCCACCGTAACCTAAAGTAATAAATAAAAGTCAATTAACTGCTCAATACATGCTGTTTTGCCACTTATGAAAATGCAATAGAATCTACCTGTTGTAGAGTATAATCACTTAGATGTTGGAGCAAAGGAACAAAAGTATTGGATCCGATTTAAATGCAGTAAACTATTTTTTTTTTCAAATTAGAGTATATGAAGATCCTTTAAACAAATATTTTTTCTAACATCGTTAAAATTATGCTTTAGATTGCCTCTTGACTCTACATTTTTTAGAATTTCTGGTAAAGATGACTTTTTTAAAAATAAATGTCGATCAAAACAAAATGTTATGCCCTCATAAAAAAAAAGATTATAAATTGAAAATGTAAAAGAGTTAACCCCCAATATATGAAAGAACGATTAATTGGAGTAATCTTAAAATATATGGGAATGTTACATTTGTGACAAATGAGACAAATCAGTTGCTGATGTAGGAAAATCGAAATTTATTCACTAAACTGCGTATTCCTAAGGTATTTCATTACTCTATACGTTTCCAGTTGGTTGACTGATTTTGAATAGAACTAATTCATTACAAGGCCTATTCAAAATTTATCAACGAACTATTTTCTGTTAGAGCTGAAGGATTCAGGAACGAAAGAGTTTTATTCTTTCTCATTTTCTTTTTATGCAAGAGGAACTTTCAAAATTTTCTTTCTTCGTTGTCAGGAGATCCAGAGAGTGCAACAAAGGGATAGAAATTTACCTGAAAGTTCATATGCAGGAATTTAGATTTAAATATATCCTATCGAAAGTAGCCGAAGCAAAAGCAAATAAAAAAAAAAGAATTTTTTTTTAGTGCATTGTTTTCTGCTAATGCATGCTATTTTGGTGATAATTAAAAAATGGAAAATGCTCAAATTGGAGAACTGGTAGAAGAAAAAAGCGCACATCAATAAAAGATTTATTCAGATTAAAGCCTTTATCGCTCCCATATTCGTTTTGCTTGCTTTATTTTATCATTTATTCGCTTTTCTGAGCGAATTTTGATTATAGGAAGTTTTTGCTATAAGAAACGAAGTTTAATTTTTCCTTCAACTTGTTCATACCGCGAATATACCGAACAGTACGCTCTTGATACTTTTGTAATAAGAAAATACTGATAAATGATTTCTTAAATTTTCAGGATTAAAAATTTACCTGGTAAGCAGTAACATTTATAGCCACTTAACCCATCTTCACAAACACCATGAACACAAGGGCTTGAGAGACACTCATTAACGTTTGCATCGCAGTGACGTCCACTGTAACCCGGAGGACACTCGCACCAGTAAGTTGTCTGATTACCTCTGCAAGTGCCATTGTTCAGACATGGCTTACGATCACACAGATTTACTTCCTCTTCGCAGGCCTGTCCTCTAAATCCTGAAATTTAGTCTCAATTAATACATTTCAGTCTCAGTTAGATTTCCTTTTTTTTAAAAAACTTTTATATGCGGCTTTATTAGATACGTTTTGTAAAACTGAGCCAATGATTTTATGAAAGAGATCCTCTTATAATATCTATAAAGATCATCTTATAATCTTATAAAGTAAATAATTGTTAAGTAAAAGTTTCAAAAGATAATAAAGTTGAAAATTTAAACTTCAACCGGATTTTAGTTGAATTTTTATACACTCCTCACAGTATAAAATGAAGAATAAAAATAAAGGTTGGCGGTATAATTCGGATCAACAAAATTTTAAATTAAGTTTTTAAGCATTCAACTACTTAACAACTTAACAAGCTCAAAAGCACAACTTAACAAGCTTGTGCTTTTGAGTGACACTTCATCAAAATTACGTAATTTCTACATGGATCCCATATTTAAGGAAAAAGAATGATAATTAATTTTAGCTTCTTTTAAACGAAATGAAAGTTTAGGTAGTATTTATTTTAATCATATTTCATATATAAGGATTGCATCATTTGTCAGAATACCTTCGAGGGAATTGAAAGTTATTGATAAATTTCACGAAGGCAAATGATGTTTGAATTTGGTAAATAAAAAAAAAAAGGGGTGGATACAAGATTTTATCTGAATTTTGAGCCAGAAGCAGTGATCGAAGTAAGGAGCATCCACCTGTTTCTTTATCGGAAAGCATGGCTGTATTTAAAAAAAAAACATGTTGCTGTCAAACAACTCTTCGAAAAACTCGGCTCGTTTTATGAAGCTTACAAAAGGATAATAAATTGCAGGAGGTCATAACTTCCGCTTAGTGTAAGATGAGGAGAAAGGAAAAGCCATCGGCGTCATCTTACCGTGAGGACATAAACACTGGTATGTTGATCCAGTAAGCCCCTCTGTGATATCCACGCAAAATCCACCGTGTTGGCAAGGGTTGGCATAGCAACCGTCACGTTCTTCACAAAAACGTCCAACGAATCCTGGGCAACAGTGACAAGTGAATGTTGTCTGTACAAAAAAGATAAGAGCATGAGGGAAAAGAGGCAAAGTAGTAAGATACTTCCTAGGCCAAAGTATTCGCCATCTACGATAATACGATAATACGAATAAGAAACAAAAGTACTAAACTATTTCTGAGATAAAGACTTTACACGTTGTTTTCAATTTGAAGTAATTTGAATTTTAATCTCACCAGGATTTAAAAAACTTAACTTGAAACAAAATTACTTCTAAATGAGAAAATATGTAAAAAAATATAGCATACAGATTTTAATGACGTTACGAACGAAATATGTTTATTATTTTAAAGTAAGAATATGTTTCAACATGCATGCTTTATGAACCACGTTTTTATGTATAACCTGCTTTGACTAAAGTATAACAGACTTTATATACTTAATTTTTTAAAAAAAGTAATCATTTTCCATTAGTTTTTAACTGTATTTAAACGCAGAAATGAGAAAATATTTAGAAAACAGAATAAGGGAAATTTATAGTTCCATAAATAAATACCGTTAACTTGTTTCTAGTTTACTTACCAATGTGTGGTCTGTGAGGCAAGTCCCTTTACCTGAACAAATGTCATCTTCAGGAAGTCTTGAACATTCCTGAGTTCGAACGGTTACATTTAAGGTCCAAGAAACTTCACAGCCAGTTGATGGTAGACGAGTCCTCACTAAAAACGAACATTAACTAAATAAAATCAAAAGCAAACAGTATATTTTAGATGAGATTTATGTTTATAGTTTGAAAACTTTTTATTCAATTTCGGCCAGAATTTAAAGCAATAACTTTCCTTGATACAAATTGATTCCTTTAACATTTCTTGCGAAAATTCTGGGGACATACATATTATTATAACCCCTTTGGCTCAATTTGGCTATTCTTTACAGAAGGAAACGAATGATAACTTATATTTACTTAAGCAAAACATTATTTATTACATACATACATATTTTTCTTTATAATTAGGTATTTATTCTGAAAATCAACCAATAAATCTATTTACTGACGCATTTATTTTTATTCTGTCGGAAATTTCGTGTCTCAGAAATTTTGGCTTCCTTTAATGGTTTTGTTTTGTTTGGTTTATTGAGATTACGGCAAAGCACACTAGCGCTATCTGCCTAAGGGGAGGGACGTCTTCGTGGAGGACTTTCTAAGGGAAATTGGCTTTTATACACGTTACACATGGGGGAAAACCACGAAAACGCCCATGCAGCCAGCCCGTTCGCGGGATTCGAACCTCGGACCGAACTACCAGTGTTCAGCGACTTTACCGCTCGGCCGCTGGTGGGTCCCAGTTTCGTTTCGAAGTACTGTATTCCTGCAGTATGTTTAGCGCAATTTCAATTTGTTCTACTGCATGTAAATTCCTCAAGTGCGTATTTTAAAATTGTGTTTAAGACAAAATTTATTTCAGTTTGTTTATAAGAACCATTGTATCTCGGAATACAACAAAAAGAACTCACATTAAAGTGGCGTAGTTGCTTTTAAAGTTAAAGATTTGTTACAAGCATGGTTTTCACATTTTGGCCTATTCTGAAAATTTGATGACATTTACCAAGATGGTTGCGCTAATTTAAGGGCCAAAATTAGTTCTCATGCTTTGCCAAAATAAAATAAACCAAACCAAACCAAATCAAAATCTGTTAAGTAGGCGTTAATTTCAGCGTAAAATAGGCTAGATGCTTTCTGAAAGAGAACATTGTTTCCTTTCACTAGAGACAAAAATTACTGAGTGTTGTGAACGTAATTTTTGCAAACACATGTTTTGCTATTCGTAAAAATTAGAATATATTTCTTATATTTAAAAAAAATTTCCTTACGCTTTTTGTGATTATGGTAAAGCACATAAATGCTATCTGCCTAAGGGGAAGGATGCCCTCTTAGAGAACTTTCTAAGGGAAACTGGTTAGTGTACACTTTACACGAGGGAAAAGCGTCGGAAACGCCCATACAGCCAACCCGTTCGCCTGGAATCGAACCCAGGTCGGAACTAGCAGTGTTCAGCGATTTTAACGGTCCACCTGTATCCTTAACGTACTAATTCACTGACAGGTATTTAAAGAATGCATATTAATCCCGCAGAAGTTCGATTTTCAATCATTCGAGAAAGTCTTTTTATTCACCTAGTAAGATCTTTATCTTCCCTGGAAGGGATTTAACTAGAATTTCATTATAGAAATGTACATTAAAATAGTTTCTGCTGAGAAAGATTTTTGCAAACATCTTTAATTAAAAGTAAAAGAGGATTTCTTTTTGAAAGTTTAAATTCTGTACCTTATATTTGAAAGCAGAATCTCGTAAATTAGTAAATTCATTATGAATGGAGCAATTATTCAATTCTTTATGGTTTCCAAACAAATTCGACAGTTACCCTACAACAATTTTTTAAAGATACTTTTGAATTATAGAAGTGAAAAAGCTGGTATTTTATATTAAAATTTTGAAAAAGATTAATTCATATTTGTGGATTTTAAAAGCGTAAATGATTTAAATTATTTTCATAGAAAAGATAAACTGAATGTAATCTGTTATAAAAGTGTTAAAATTCCTTACTTCGGTGAATATGCGCGCAAATATTATGTTAATCTCCCTTTCACAAACTTGCATAGTCACCCAAAAATTAATCGCTATTAAAAAGTTAAAATTAGTTATTTTTATATTATTGGTCTTACATACTTAATAAATTGGTCTATGTTTTTTCGGAATTTAATTTTTCAATTTAGCATTTCTCATAAAATAAGGTTGCTATTGATTGGCCGGCTCTTTCGTTGAGCCACCTCCATTATTTTCTAGTTATTTAAGAGGTATTATCTGTTTAGTATACTAAATGAAGCTTGAAAACCGCCATCTTGACTGGGAGTTGATCCACGTTCAAACAAGGTAGCTTTACAAGAAGGTAAGGTTTTTCGTACTTTTTTCTAATTGATCAATGTTAAGAAAATATAAATATCGGTAAAATGTTAATAGTGTTTTAGATATTACTGATAACATTGAAAACTCTGTTAAATCAGCGTTACTTTACTATATTAACAGTGGTTGTTTACTTTATTATAAATGAAATCACTGACATATTACATACCGACTGCTAAGTTGCCTTCAATGAGACAGCCTGCAATGTCATGAATAGGATGGTGGTCCAACCATGGAAACCATATCAAGGCTAATATTTTGTAACCTTTTTCAAGTTGTAGTATAAAATGTCACTATATGTGATCTAGTAAAAAGCTATCAGAATTAATTAAATCTGTAATTATATAATCTTAGTTTTTTGTTATAACATAATTATAAGCCATTAATCTAATTTTAATGTAAACCGGAGTAACTTTAATTCGTGTGTAAAATGAGTATTTTATTGAAATTACTGTAATGATTTTCATTACTTCTTGCAAAATTTATGCCTATTTGTAGTTTTAAAATTGTATCTGCACAATAAATAGATTAAGTGTTTGTGTTTGTTTGTGAGTATGGCAAAGCCTCGAGGGCTATCTGCCTAAGAGGAGGGATGCCTTCGTGGAGGACGTTTTAAGGGAAACTGGCTCGTATACACGTTACACATGGGGAAAACCACGAAAACTCCCATGCAGCCAGCCCGTTCGCGGGATTCGAACCTCGGACCGAACTACCAGTGTTCAGCGACTTTACCGCTCGGCCGCTGGTGGGCATAAATAGATTAAGAAACATGCATTAAGAACAAGTTTCTACGACAGAAGCTTAGGGAAATTACAAGTTGTCACCCAGTTCTACATAGCAAGATTGTTTGGGAAAGCATATGGACAAGCAACAACAGTAGGGATAGCAATGAATGGTTTTGCTAAAACAGGAGTTTGGCCAGTTGAACAGAGATATATTTCAAGACTCATTTTGATGCAGTAGTGCAGTTTGAAACAAATAATGATCTTGTTATACAAGTTCATTACACAAGCCTAACTGCTTCTACTAGTGGACTGTCACATGACATGCAGGCTCCAGGGAGAAAATCTGTTGCAATCACCAGTGGAACAGTATCAAAACTACTTCCAGCTGATGCATCAACATTGTTATCAAAAGTTAAAGTTTCTTTGAGTAAAATCTCTTCGATTTCATCTAAATTCTGAGCTGAAGAAGGCTCAAAGACCAAAAAACAATACTGATAACAAGTAGCATATAGTAGCCTATATAAGCAGATACTCGAAAAGATTTGAAAAGAAAAGGAAGAAGTGGCACCGCTGTAAAAAAGACTATTCTAAACTCTTCTGGATTGGAGGAGACAGCAAAGGCTAAACTTTCATTGCCTTTAGTAAATAATTTTTGTTCCAAAGAGGATTCATGGTTCTGTGCTATCTGTTGTGATGACTTGAAGGAAGACATGAGTCAATGTCTATCGTGTAAAGTGTGGGTTCGTGAGAAGTGTGCTGGTGTCAGAAAGGGGATCAAAATCTATTATTGCGAAAAATGAAACTGAACTCATCAAGAGCGAAGACTTGATGCAGCAATTTGTGTAAGATTTATAGCCTAATATATTAATAGTAGGCTTAATAATTATTTTACCTCTTTGAACATTTTTAAGTTGTGTTGTTCTTTTTATACTAGCATAACTATAAATTACCCACGAATTTTTATTTTCATGAAATTGTTTCTAATAAACGAAATTCAGAGTTATTTTTCCAGATTCTTACTTTAGGCCTATTTTATAATTATGAAGACTAAACTAAAATCCAACTCCTGATTTCCTGTGAATAATGCGAAGCTATTAATGTTTTTCAATGTATTTTAAGTGGCCTGTGTTAGTTTCTAACCAGCATTTTTAATCTACGAATCATGATCAAATAGTTTTAAACATTTTATTGACCTGTAGTAAGATGACACTGTATTAAAAAGAAAACAGCCAGCGACCCATTCATAGAAAAACTCCCCGGCTCAATGAAGGCGACCGGTATCTTTCCAAGAGCTATTTCTAGATATGTGTAGTATGGAAAGTAATACTTATACGTACAAAACTGTAAAATGGCCTTGACGATTTTAAGGATCATTTTGTAAAAGTAGTCCATCGAAAACAACCTTCCCATAAGTTTACATTTTATTCTAAACTTTAACTGATTTCGTATCGCTATACAGATTGCTAGCTGCAAAAAATATTTCAAATAAATATATTTATCTGATAATAAGTAATTCGAGTTAAACTTTCATATGAATTATAAATGCGATCTAATATATATGGCAAGGGTTGTGTACATGATTAAAGTAATATAATTTTTATTATCTTGCCTTTCGCTGATTTTTTAAGTTCCAAAGTGAATTAATAAAAATGACATTTCTTAGTCGCGGGATCGCGTAAGAACTACTTTAAAGTTCTAAACCTGCTCAAAATCTTATGAACTACATTATTGTCCTGAACGGATGCATACTTATTCGAGTTCAGTCAATCAACAGACAATTAGAAACTTTCAGTACGATTTCCAAAGCTAAATCTATGACAATGTAAGACTGTTTATCAATGAAAAATGCTGTCATATAGGAAACTTTAAGAGAATCAGGAAAGCCTAATATATTGTTGTTGCTCTAATTATATAAATAATTGAAGCAAGTGATCGTTAATTAAGCTAATTATTTTTTCGATCTGAAAAATAAATAAATTACACGTGGAAAAATAATTTAATCACACATTACTAAATTACTCATGGAAACTTATATTTCCGTTTGTAAAAATTATTTGGACTAGCACAATAATATATTTAATCATGTCATAGAATAATTTCATTTTTATCCAAGGAGCTGGAAAAAGTTATAAATAATTCATGGCCATTGAATTATTATTCGCGAATTTTAATAAAGATAACCGAGATTCCAAGCTTGTTTTTAATAAAGAGTTGAATAAAAGAAAGATTAATTTATATGCATAAATATTTTTTTAATAGTTTGAGCGTAGATTTGTTTGTTACTTTCTGGGAAATATTTTATAGATAAATCAGGGGAGACATATATATTGTATAATATCAGCAGCAGTTTTTTTAAATAAAAATCTTGATTTTATTAAGGCTTAGCATTCACATATGGTCCCTGGAATATCTTTGACAAATCTTTATTTTAACTGCTTAAGAATATTATTTACTGCGAAATTCTTACCATCTAATAGAATGCAATTTTGAGATTTGTTATAATCAGGGAAAAGAAGATAAAGTTTTACAAATTAAGCGAAACCTGTCACATAGTTAAATCTTAGTTAAGCCAAACTTTGAAAATACCGCTAAAGATGTGAACTCCAGCTAGAAGAAGTTCTTCCTTGAGAGTGATATTATCAACGACTCCCACTTTCCAATGAGCCATCGCCTCAATCGGTAAGACAGCTAAATTGCAAGACACTGCTTCACGCTCGGGCACGGGATCCAGGACGACTTCCATATTTTCTGCCTCTTCTAAGCTTTCGTTCGTCGACATATTTACGTGAAGTCTAGAACAAAGCCAAAATAAAATATGTAATAACTCATTAATGCATTTAATATGATATCATTATTATTTCAAATATGACTTAATAACACCTCCGAATAACGATTATTGGAAGGCTTGAGCATCTTCTTCTTCAACACTTTCCTTCATCAGCTGCAGAAGGACAAATCCACTTCTGTTGCTGAAGAAGATTGTTTTGTATTTAAACCTTCGAAACTAATCCTACATATTAATAATATTACATTGGTTCTTGTTGCTTTAGCTCCTCCAATAACCTTTCTAATATTTTTACTCTCAAGTTTGCTCTTGGATTAATTAATCGAGTTGTTTCAAAATGTTTGCAGAACTGAATTTATCTTGATTGGTAGGTCTTAGATCTGCGATTACAGATTAATAAAGGAATCAAAGAAGATTTTCAGTCAATGATAAGTATGGTCACGTTACAACTTTTAGTAAAAAGTAACGAAATTTAAATTCTTACTTGTATCTCCTTACAAATAAATATCTATCTAGTAAATCGTTCTTTATTCAACGAATGATATTTCCTTAAAAAAAGATTTGTAATTAACCCAAAAAAAAAGCGCCAAACTTGTGACTTAAATCCCTGTTCATCAAATAACGGACAGTCAATGATCTTTATTTCGTATAAAAACTGAATTATGGTGAGAAATCTGGTTTTAGCAGAGAAACCTTTTCATGTAATTTCCTAACAAGAAAGTTATTTTTAAAACTGCATTTAAAAATTTAGATGCGTTTTAGTAATATTTATAAAAAGCTGTAATTAATGATGACTAGTATAATTTTGATCGCATGAGGACAGGAATATTTTAGCTTGATTAATTAGCTATAAAAATTACTTTTCTAATCAACAGTTTTTTATGGGTTGGTATGAAAATTAAATTTCATATATGTGACACAGAACAAGAACTGTCGCATTTCTGAAAGCCTATCTTATTTGATGCTTTTCTTAAAATCAGAACCCTTGTTATACTTCAAGTACAGTCCTTCAAGAAATATTTTGAAATAGAACGTTTTTAATAACCTGTATACGTCATTACTGGATTTTTACATTTTCTGATGCATTCATCTCATTTTCTGATAATGATTTCAGTAATTTTGAACACACTTTCTAATATATTGATGACATTCTTTTCAAGAATAATAATCTTATTGAAATGAGCAACATCTACCCCAACTGTCTAAAACTTAATAAAACCAATGAAAATCCGTTAGTAATAGATTATCTAGATCTTAGCATTCATAATCTTAAAGAGATAAGACTATTTGATAAAAGAGAATTTAATTTTTCTAAAATAAAACTCATAAATCGTTGCTCAAATATATCTAAAAAAGTAACAGCAAATGCAGCATTTAATCAAATTAACGGAATTAAAATTTTTGCTCTAATATAGAGCAACAACAAAAAGAAATAGTTTTTTTTACTAAAGTTTTAAAAGAGAATGAAATTCTAATAAACTCTATTAACAATATTTAAAAAAAAAGCTGGAGTAGACTACACCCTACAAATTTTTTAAAAGTATGAATTTGTTATCTGAAAGCTCAAATAGAGAAGGATAAAGAAGGATGTTTTAAAAAGTTTTATAGTATTTCATTTTATTTCTACTAATGTATAATTTTATTTACTACAGATTTTCGTGATAATAAAGGACCTCCTACATTCTTAGTCGTCATAATAAGCCCATGACGTGAAGATTGTATACTTTTCTAACATTTTTTTTCTTCCTTTTCTAGCCTTACTCTTTAAAAAAATTAAATCTTTCAAGCATTTACTGTGGGTAAAAAAAGTATTTGCACACCTACATTTTTGTTTGCAATTCATAAAAAGAAACATTAAGAAATAAAAAAATTGGTATTGCCAAATCAGAATAAGTTTAATCATCCAAAACAAACAGAAAAATTACAATAATATAAATCACAATGCTTTTTTGCAACAATATTAAAATATCTCGTATCAAAAAAAGTATTTTCACACCTGCATGAATACAAAAGAAATAAAATATATAAACAAATTTCAAATAACTAATATTTAGTATGCATGCCTTTGGCATCTATTACTGCTTGTAATCTTGCTGGCATTGATTTAATTAAATTTTCTGTAACAGTAGGGTCAGTGTTCGACCACTCCAGTAAGGGCTTGTTTAAGGGCAGATTTGCTTGAAATCTTCCTTTTTACTTATTTTTAAATTCCAAAGAATTCCACAAATTTTCCAAAGGATTTAAGTCTGGTGATTGTGGTGGAGTGGCAAGTTTTTTGGGTACATTATAAAGCAACCACATACGTGTTATACCGGCACTGTGCTTAGGATCATTGTCTTGCTGAAAATAATACGAATTACTGATACCCAATTTTATTGCACTTAGTGGCAAATTATCTCGCAACACATCTATATAGGTTCGAGCTGTCATATTTTCATCAATGAAACACAAATTACAACTCCTTTGCTAGCCATGCACCCCCAAATCATAACAGAACCTCCTCCATGTTTAACTGTAGCTAACACATTTTTGGTATGAAAAGCAGTACAAGGTTTTCTCCAAACTAGTTTCTTCCCATCTGATTTAAAGATATTGAACTTACTCTCGTCGGAGAATATGACATTTTTCCAGAAATCAATTGGCTTATTGATATATTCCTTAGCGAATTCAAGTCTCTTCAGTCTGTTTCGTTCAGTCGTGAGAGGTTTTTTTCCTTGGTGATCTGCCATAAATGTGTGCATCGTGCAGGACATTTCGATCACTTTGGGAACAGATTTGAACTCCAGATGTTGAAGCGACATCATTGGCTAAAGTAATTGCACTAACAAATGGATTTTTTTATGCTTCTCTCATGATTTTTCGCTTCATTCGCAGTGAAAGTTTCTATGGGCCTCCAGAGAGCAAGTTATTTGATGTAGATCCTCTTTCTTTATAACATTTTATGACATACCAAATAGTAGAGAAGCAAACATTTACTTTTCTACCTATTTCTTGATAACTTAGGCCATTTTCACGTAAAGAAAAAAATTTTTCTCGCAACGAAATCGGCAATTCAGATTTCTTAGTTGCCATTACAATTTGAATAGACAATCAACTGATAACGTTTCGACAACACATCCTTTTATAGTCGTCTTACGTATGTTATTTACTGCGGGATGACTGTCAAATTATAGCATAAAAATGCAAATTTGCTAAAGTTGAGTTAAGTGTGCAAATACTTTTTTTGACATAAGCTATTTTAATATTGTTGCAAAAAATGTTTTTTATTAATATTATTGTATTTTTTGTAATTAATTTAAATGAATAAGCTTATTCTAATTTTTAAATGCCAATTTTTGTATTTCTTAATGTATTTTCTTATAAATTGTGAACAAAAATGTATGTGTGCAAATACTTTTTGTACCCACTGTAAATCACCAATTCGGAGATTTCTTCTTTGCCATTGCCAGTGATGCCAAACTGGTCACTCTAGGCGTCCATTTTGATTCTAACGTTTCCGCTGCTGGTCTTTGTTTCAAAATTAGTAATTTTTTTAAGGTGTTTTCTATTTATTTAATGAAAGTTTTGTATGTCTACATTTTTATTTGAATTTTTCAATTTTAATCTTGTTTTTTTTGTTAAAAAGTGTATTAATGTTTTAAAATCGAAAATTTTCCTATGAAATATTTGTATATGTCTCTAACTGTTTGACTCGGCGAACAATAAGTAAGTTTTTTATTTGAAATGGAAATACTCTTGTCAAAAGTACAAATTAAACCAAAACTAGGAATTTCAGTTTGACGTTAACTTCAAATCCAATCAAGTAAAAAATTTAAGTACCAATTCCAAAAAGTACAAAAATTGAAAATAAATAAATTGAAAAGAATTAAAAAGAATTGTAAAATAAAAATAAACATGAAGTGAAGAATCTAAGCAAAAAGCATTGTCTGTCAAGCATTAACTAATAGTTGTGGTAAAGCAAATTCAACTGAAATGCGAATTTAATTAAATGTAAATTAAGCGAAAATTTTAGAAAAAATACAGAAAAATGAACAATTGAAAAGATAATGAGACAATGCTGACTACCAGGGAGAATTGGGTTATCTCACTTTCTTCGCAGTTGCTCAACCATCTTGTTTCGTCCTTGTCTTGCATAAGTAAACAAAAAATTCTGCCAAATTTTTATTCATTGTAATTATCAATGTACCAAAATTAGCAAACCTATATGCCAAATTCAAGAATTTCTTTGCAAAATGTAAAAGATTTTAGTACAGTGATTTAAAAATGTAAAAAGCGCTAGAAAAATACGCAGGTATCTAATCAATTTAAGATATCAAAACATAAATAATACATGTAAATAAAATGTGACAAATACCCTATATTACAAAAATATTAAATTAAATTAATAGTGTCATATTTAAAATGATAAAATAGGCCAGAAAAGTTTTTAAAAGCTTCGATAAGCTTACTTCAGAGCAACGGACAGTTCAAGAAACTAACGGCGTTTTTTTTCTTAAACCCAAGGGCAAGCGTGTTTGTCTGCAGCTGCCGGATTTAAGATAGGCGATAAAATTAGTAAGAAGGCGAAAAACTGGTAGTGAGCTATGGAATGGCCAGAGAGGACGACAACCCATTAATTAGAAAGCAAGTACATCCATTTTTCAAATTTCTGGCAAACAGTCATGAAACAGGGAAAAAAAAAAAAAAAAAAAAAAAAAAAAAAAACTTCACGCAAATCGAGCTGTAATTGTGACTTAAGAAAATAATTGTCTTCTTTGATAGTAAAAGGATAGCAGGATATTAGTGAATCTAGTCAAACAATTAAAATCATGCTAAAATGCATATTAAAGATTTCTTAATTAACATAAATCAAGTAACCACTGATCGCAAGTATAATGCGATTAAAACATTAGTTCTTGGTATTGATCAGGGACGTGTGGTAAAACTGCTTTACTTTAACCCTTTCAGCACTAGTTTTTTCTTTAGAAAAAAAGTTAAATTAGGGTTTTAACTTAAAAGAAGAAAAGGGACTTCAGTAGGTCAAGTAGCAGTAGAAATAGCAATATTCTGCCAAAATAAAAACAAAAATTAACTGTAGAGGCTATTACGGAGGGGGGGTTGAGACACATGTGTCCCACTGTTTTTTTAGATGGGATACATATGCCCCAGTGGTGTTGAAGTGTTCAAGTAACAGTATAAAATACGGTGAGAAGTTCAGTTCCCTAGTCCTAAATTAATTTTACAATATTTGTCTTGATGTCTTGGAATGTCCCGCAGATATTAAGGTTAAGCAGGTTAACCGAAAGGGTTAAGCAGAATTAGAATTAAATGCAGCATGTAATGATGATTTTTATGACTACAAATGAGCAGCAATACAAACTGAAACTTACTGAAAATGATACGTAATAGTGAATTTCGAAATAAATAACAACTTCAAGCTTTGCAACTGTTGATTAAAAAATACTAAATAAAGTTGAAATAAAATAATTATAAGATACATTTGCTTTCAGATTTATTTATGGAATAAATAAGCCCTTCAATTTCACAAAAGTTTCACAACTGAAATTACATTATGTTTGCAATACACTCATATTGTAGATATAAAACACTTTTCATCACACACATATAATTACCCCAAATATACGTGGATGATGTCAAAACAAGAAATCTGTTGCGCTACTGTACACAGCTCTTCCTTTCAATTACAAAAGTATACATAAATCAGCTCATTGCGAAAAGCAGTAAGCGCTTTCAGTATTATTACAAGTGCATTTAAGGCTTTTATCCTGGAAAGCATACCGTTTTTAATTCTTCTGCTGTTAATTTTACTGAGTAAATTTAAAAGAATGCATATATTTTGCTTTCTTTTCGAAAAATATTTAAATATGTTCCAATTTTAGCGCCGAACAAAATAAAATTACGATGAAAACTATAAACAAATCTCATGGCTACTATTTGCGGCTATTAGATAGGGTAGAACTTTATACTCTCTAATCGGGGAAATTCTTAATATTAAATTACTTCTAATTTTTATACTTTCTGTCTAAAACTTTCTAAAAGAACAGGAAATATTAAGGATAGCTATATCAACAGATTGGTTTTGTTTATCTTTTGATGCGGTTTCAGAGGTGGCATAAACCTATGTTTACGTCGGGTTTGTTATTTAATGAAATTATTTAATGCAAAATAATTATATGTTGCAATTTTCTCCTTTAAATACTTTTAAGGTAATTAAGACACAATAACACGCCGAACAAATTCTAATTCAGAAGACAAACAACAAAAATGAGCGTTGTATTTTCAAAATTTTCACAGTAACAAAAATCAGCGTTGTGTTTCAAAATTTTCACAGACAACAAAAATCAGCGTTGTATTTTCAAAATTTTCACAGAATACAACGTGATTTTTTTTTGAAAATACAACGCTGATTTTTTTTGAAAATACAACGCTGATTTTTGTTGTTTGACTTCTGAATTAGACTTTTAAAGTAGTTCAGATAATACCTGACTCCTAAGTAGCATTTTTCAGGTTCTTCTGATAATGCTAATTTTTGCTGTAACTATCCCTGTTAGCAGTATTTTTTTTCAGGTGCACAATTATTTTCAAATTAGTTCATTGACATTTTCGTCCCATATTTCACGCTGTCATATTTGTTATTAATATATCGAAATTAACTGCCTTTTTATTCGCTTTGTATTTTAACATAGCGTTTATTTTGAAGTACTACACCAAGGCTGATTTTTCCGTGTCTAGCATAATGTGAAACTTAGTTTTCGCTTCTAATTTTGCATGAACCGTTATAATACAATACATCAAAAGTTAGCTGCTGAAATTTAAACTAAGATTAAATTGAACAGACAGAGAAAGGGAGCACTTAATGAAGGATAATTTTTCTTATAGCATTTATATATTAATGTTTCATATGAAACGTGTAAATCTCGGCTCTAAATACTTGACCGTTCAAAAAATAAAATACTTAAAAAGGATTTTATTAATATACACACTGATTATTTCATTGGATTAATTCAGTATTTTAAATATGAACCTCCAGATCCGTTCGCGTTTTCTTTCATTTAATTATAATTCTCTTGGTTAATTTAGAAACGTTAGAAATGGGCACTGCATTTCTATAATTATCATTAAATTATCCTAAACGACATACGCTTTTTGAATCTATCTGAAGAAAAATGATTAAAATCTTTACACGTTTAATCTTTTTGTTCTTGATTTAATGCTCGCAGATGAATTACGTGCGTAATTTTATCGTTTTTTTGAGCGAAGTAAACGTATTAATCATCAATCATTTTAGAAAGCAGTCTTCGGGGGGGATATTCCATTCTTTGTTTTATGAGTTAGTACTTCTCTTTTGACGATATTATTAAGAGAGAATTAATACAATAATTCAGAATAAAAAGAAATATACACAGCAAGAATACTGTGAGTTTACTGCTGAAAGTATATCTGCATCATTACATAAATTTCTAAATTCAAAAAATAAATATGTTTCAGATTTCAGTTTGACTGAGTATTAACTATCATTTTAACCAAAACACTACTTATTTATACATGGGAGTTTTACAACAAAAAAGGAGTTGGGGTATAAAAAAGTAATAATTGATTAATTACTTAAAAAAATTCCTTAGTTGTCTTGAATCAACAAATAAAACTGACAGCTTTAAATTTGTGAAGAAATATAAGAAGAAAAACCTTAAAAATTAAGGAATTTCAAAATTAATTTTAAAGGAGGTGTATTCAATATTAAATTACGAGTACATATACTGAAACCGACTGCTTTAATAAAGTTTCAGTGTACATATACACATATAGATAATATAATAGCATACATATACACACAAGAGTAGGGAAAAGTTTATGTTGGTTCTTGAATTTGCAGTCAACTCTCTTTGGTAATGCATTGCAACTCTCTTTGGTACGCAGAGCCATATTAGAGTAAAAGTAATATTAATAATGACACTGGTCAACATTTGTTTTGAAAAGAAAAACTAAAATTCTTTTCCTGTATATTCGTGTATGCTGATTTCGTGAGACGTCACTTATTGCCAACGCTGGATAAGCATGTAAATACTACTTGAGACTTGAGAATATATCAATGCATTGAAGCTTAAATTATATAAATGTAATAATAAAATTCCATAGTCAAAAATACATTTAAAATTCTAACTGTATGTTCTTTTCATTTTTAATGGCGACGGTCTCTTATTTGAAAGTACGTGGAATTAAAAAACCGTATAGAATGTTCTTTAAAGCGAACTGGAATGGCTGACGTCATTTCTTGGAAGCTCCGCCTTTCCAGATAAAAGGATAAAAGGACTATCGGGGTCTTTTCTTTAATGAACGAGGCAGTATTCATTATTAGTAGTTCTACGGACTAACGGCATTTTTGATAAAGGGATGTTTTTTAAACTTAGCTAACTACGAAGGATTCTCACCAATCTTGCGTAACACACAAGCATATATGTATATGCTATATATATATATATATATATATATCGTATATGAAAATGATGCACAAGTCCGTGAAAAATGACAAAAATTTATTATTATATGCTTAAATTTTCTCAAATTATCATGATTACAATATCTCACAGTAGTTTTCTTTTAACTACTCAAATGTCAATAGAACGTAATTCAAAAACAGCTAAATAACAGAACGCTAATCCGCGAATTCGATACAAACTCAACAACAGTAGAATTCTAAAAACAACTAGCAACTACTACAAACTGAGATGTTTTCGCTCATTTTTTTTTCTAGTTTATATTTCACGCGTTCTAAGTTTTTTTTAAAATCGCGTTGAATTTTAAATAGAAAAAAATACTGTTAAAATTTTCGTCGATTAGAGAACGCACACACGCAGAGTAAAACATTGGAACATGTAAATGTTTAAAAATCTTTTTTGAAGGAATTTGTAGACTTGCTATAGAGGATTGCAGTCAAGTTTTCGAGTTGCATTATTTCTTGTTTTTCCTCCACTTGAACATAAGTTTTTAATTATGATGCTGACATTAGCGGAAAAAGCGTTGTAGTGAAGTTGTTTTACCTCAGCCAAGAATCGTCGACTGAAGATTTACGAAGGTTTCGGGCACAGAAGGGATGAAAGAAAGGTTCAGATCCAATCGCTCTTGTTGGACTGACTTCCCTGATACGACACTAAAACATAAAAGGGAAGCTTGGGTCATCTTCTTTGTAGTGGTGCACCAGGTTTATCAGCAATCCGTACTTCCGATGTGACTTTGCAGATGACCTCTAAGGGGGATGCAGGTAGCGTAACGAGAAGTGGACACTGAAAACTGGTTCGGAACCATTACGGCACGTGTATTTCACAGATTTAAAATAAAATGTAATTCCAATCCCCCAACTTCCTGCAATGACAAACCTAAAAAATTTCACCAAGGATTCAACTGTTTCAATAAAAAGATGACTTCGGTTCGCCGGAATCTTAAACACCACTTGACTTTACTGGGGTTTGCACCAGCATTTTTACCGCAGTAGACAGTTTCTTTCTTGTTGGACTGAAATCCTTGTCCAGTATACCCTTACGTTGCACACAACGGGTACCCTGTCACGAAAGCAATCTAATGCTTGATAGTGGCACAACAATGGGAGTGATTGCCTTTTGCTTTTTACCCTGTTGAAAAATTCGTTTTTTTCTCGTTATACTTGTTCAATTAAAGTGTGCATGGTGGGCAATACAAAAGAGTGAACGCGTTTGGGGAAACTTTCTGAAGAAAAAAGCGAATGACAGTATATTCCTTTCCAAAATGAGATGGATTTTTCTATATGTAAGAGCTTTTAATTTTATTGTAGAAACCATTTAGTTAATTTGAATACACGAATAACGCTCACTAATGAATTTATGAAAATTATGCACTTTATGAAAAGTAAATTTTTAAAAGACAAATAAACTTACACAAGCCAGTCTCCTTCTTGAAGCTCCAGTTGTACGACATGAAATTAAAAGAATTTTGAAACCAGAAGTAAAAAAAAAAAAAAAAAAAAAAAAAAAAAAAAAAAAAAAAAGACCTTTTAATTCAAGCAAAATACTTGTCAATAATTGAAAAACAATGATGACAAAAATTATTGTTTTTTTGATGATTTTAGAATTATTTATTAATTTATATTACATTCATATCGCTAATGAACTGAAATAATCTGTGCTCTTGAAATAGAAACTAAGAAGCAAATCGCACGCTTAGTTGTTTTGTTGTTTTCATCGTGCATATAATCTTCAAGCTTGAAGCTTTCTTTGCGCAAGCAAAATCTACGAATTTTTCAATGCATCACTATAAAATTATGATAAAGATAAGCTCCTGAAATGAAGTCCCAGGATTCTTTGCAGAAAGCGAAAACTTGAAGTAAGAAACTTCCTTAAAATAATAACTCTTCTGGCTGTAAAACATTTGAAAAAAGTAAGCAAACATACGCAAGAAGAGACCAGTGAAATAATAAATTACAATGTGGGTTTAAAATTCATAGTTTTGCAGTATATATTTTATTGAGATGGCTGCATTTTACTATCAGTATGATAGCTAAGAAATTAAATTCGTGATACTTATGTTCATTAATTGTAAACTAGTTAAATAACATATGGCAATGCGTTTATTTTCAGTTTATGGGAATAAACCAATCTTAAAAGATCGCAATGTATATGTGTTTTACATAAATTAGAAGTATAACTATTTGAACACTATTAAGCAAATTTTGGGCCCACCAGCGGCCGAGCGGTCAAATCGCTGAACACTGGTAGTTCTGACCTGGGTTCGATTCCAGGCAAACGGGCTGCATACATGGGTATTTTCGAGGTTTTCCCCATGTGTTACGTGTATACTGTTATGAAATGTACAGGCACGGTGAGAGAGCTTCCCCTCAAAGCAGTTTTAGGGTTGCTATATAAATGGCAAGGGAAGGAAGGGTTGCCACATTTGGTGAGAAATCGCCCATTTGGCGACATTTGGCGACAAAATTGGCAATATACCATGGACGGATGGAGAACCTTCTGGAACGAATTCTTACCGGTTTAGCCCAGAATGTTCTCGAACACAAGCCAAAAGCTATATAAACCCTGCTGGTCCGCAGTCAGTTAGTGTGTGTGTGCCTCGTCTAGAGTGCGAGTTAGTATCGAGTGTGTCTCGTCTAGCGAGTTAATCCCTGCGGAGTCGATCGAGTTGACAGCCGGGCAGCGAGTGCCGAGTAGGTCGTCGAGTGAACCGAAGGAGTCTGTTAGTGTATCGCGGTTAGTGCATCGTCAAGAGAGCGTGTTGAGCCTGCGGGAACGACTGAACCAAAGAGTCGGGAGCTGTGCTCGTGTGTCGTCGAGTGCATCGCGAGTTGTAGCGAGTAGAGTCTCGAGAGTACGTGGAGTTCCGAGAACGACCAAGCAGAGTCGGGAGCTGTACTCTGGAAAGCAGAGTCGGGAGCTGTACTCTGGAAAGCAGAGTCGGGTGCTTTGCAGGAAGCTGTCTCCACCGTGATAGCCTGATAACCTGAAGGCTGTGTTGCTGATCGTGTCAGCGTGTTTATAGTAGTTCATCGACGACTGTAAAACGTGTTTTGGAGCTGTCCTGACAATACTGGCTAATAAAGTGTGTTTCGATACTTCATCAAGTGTCGTCATTATTCACTTCAAATCCACAAAACCCCGTACGAACATCAAGGAAGAAAATAACGTAACAACTGGTGTCAGAAGAAAAGAAAAACGCAACAACACGAATCAGTCTCCCTTAAAACTCCTCCACGAAGGCATATCTCCACTTAGACAGATAACCCTTATTTGCTTTCGCATAAATAAACAAACTAAGCAAATTTTGTTTTATTATAAATTAATTATGAATCTAGATTAGGACGCTCATAAGAATTATCAAGAATTATCAAGTCTTCTAATTTGTTCTGGGTGTTCACATTATTTAAATGCGGTGCTAAACCTGATATGAAAAGTCGTCAAAGAAATAATGCATTTTCAAGATTAACTGTTTAAGGTTGCGCAACTTCCTTAAACGAGAAGCTGAAAAGCGAAAGGAAATTGGCATTGGTATTTGTGTCATAGTTATGTCATGAGCTTCATTTCTTCACAAGCCATTTACTTTCTTTTTGGAACTTCGCTCAAGCGTATGTTTCATTTCCTTGTCAGGGAATGTTTTGGAAAAGACACTTTCTTTTGCAACCGAAATCAATGATCGTATGAAACTAAAAATATATTTTCCCCATTTTCTTAAAATGAAAACTTTTGTAATTTTATTGAAGTTTTAATATGGGTAAATTAGGCCTTACAATTAAGCTTCAAAGATCAAATTGAGAAAATCCTTAATAGAAATTTATTGTGAATATTGTTTGAGTTAGAAGCCAGATTTAGAATATTAAGAAATTTAAGCAAATGTTCTAATTTTTTCTGACGAATTTGACTTTATATTTAATCCTATAAATAACAGCATTTTCAGCGACTTTTAGTTTATTTGAAAAGATGGGAAAAGGATTTAGATTTACTAAAAATTTATAATGTAAACGAAATATGCCACTTTGATTACAAACACACACACATATTACTTAAAAAGCTCCTTATGATATTAAAATCCTAAAATCCTGTTTATGTAAATATTCCAAATGAAATTTTTCATACCCAAATAATGCTGGAAAATGTCAAAAAGTTTTCAACGGAAGACATATATTATATATTTCTTTTTCCAAACTGAATCTTAAGCAAACAAATAGACAAAAATGAAAAAAAGAGAAAATAGAATAATCGAAGATTGTGTCAAGGTTAAACTTTGTAGTAACCATCGGAATCATATTTGCTAACGTGATTACAATCTTTTATAAACTTGCTTGCCGTTACTCTTCGGCAGGTTAAAGCCCACTTAATCTGACTCACGTACTAAAGTCTTAAGACAGGGAAATTAATTCTTTTATCCCACCTAGACAGGTGAGACTTTTTGTCAGACTGCCATCATCATCGTGACAATTTCAAAGTGGCAGCTGTCGAATGTTTTTTAATACTGTCATGTGTGAACCTCTTTTTCGGTTTATAGTCTATTCTCCTAAGAGTACAGAAAAGTACAGCGCTAGCTGATCGATAACTCTTCTTAAGTTCACATAACAGTATGCTGTGAATTTAACAAAAATTACTACTAGAATTAGAATTTGTAAGTCACCTGAAAGGCTTAAAATATTTTGAAAAACAAATTGCATTATAAAAGAAACGTACGTAAATGTGCGTTTTGGAGACTCCTTAGAAGTTTAAAGTTAGCAATCACAAAAGAAGAGCGAAGGTTCTTTTTTAATCTCCTAGACATATTTTTGCAATAAATTAGCCATATTCTAGCAAAGTCTGCATATTTTTCAACTATTTTCAAATGCTTATAGCCTAAAGTCGATCTTGAAAAATAATATAAACGCTTCTCTATATTTATGTTTTAAATCAAGGTAAATGGATAAGAATGTTTATACTTGTAAAAATGTGCTATTTGCTTCACAGATAAGAGTACTAATAGGTGCTTTCGGACAGCAAATGGTAAATTATGTTTTTGTTAATATATTATTATTGTTATCATTCACTTCGTTGATAGGAAGAACTTCTACGCTCTTGCCCATAATGTGAAGTTATCTGTTACCCTGAAAACCTGTACACTTTGGTCCGTATGTCAAGGTTCGGGGTCAATTTACTAACCAAGCTGACAAAAACCTATCCTATGAGGAGGAGCAAAAACTAACAAAATGAGAATTTTGATTTAGACTTAAAGAATGAGGATACAAAGCATCTAGTATGACACTTGCTTGTCACGAATGCTGTTGAAGTTCGTGGAATGTTTACATAATGTGAGGTTAATTTTGAAGATTATAAATATTGTTATCTAGTTCTGAGTACTGTTAATAAAGTTGTCCAGCATTTTTTGACATATAGAATTGCAGCTTTGTTCCAGATAAAACGTTTTATTCATTAGCTAGAATCCAGGACAAAATGCACTATGAAAATCCTTACATACCGAAGTTGGTTGGGATCTCTATAAATGGCAGGCATTGAAACCATTGGAATTGCTTGCTGAGGTGCGTGCAATCCTAATGTGATCCTACTCAGCACTTCGGAAGTTACATAATGAGTACTTTCGACAAAGCTGGCAGGGTCAAAACATGAATCCAGGACTCAGCAAGTACTATTATGGCAAAACGTGGTATGCAGGTAAATATAAACACTAGCCCCTAGTTGCAAGACCGTAGGATACAGTCAGATATATCAGGGCAAGATGTTAGACGGAGCTTCATATGCTGTTACTGTGGTGACGGTAAAACTCCGAGGGCTGTTACAAAGCTTTCGCTACGCTGGCTGGATAATAACACGCAATTATAGTCAAAGCCGCTGCTCTGTCAGGCAGTTATGACATTAAGGCTATCTTATTCATGCTATTTTCGAACATGCTCGATGACTTAGAAACTTTTCTAAAGCCTGGAAACAACACTGCCTAGAATACTGAGATCCTGTAACACCTGTCTCTACATGTGGCCAGCATCCTGCTTCCGATGGGTTCCTGAAGCAAGTTATCAACTTGGGTTCTCTTTGCCCTATATTAGTTATATATTTTCTTTTGTAAAGGAAAAATTGCAACTACCATGCTTCCATATGTATGGTACTTTCAACGAACACACGAATATAAACTATTTGAAGTCAAGGAGAATGAAGCTAAAATTATCTCTGCTTCCAGTCTTGTGGAAATTTTTATGAATCTTCTTTAAGAAGCCAAACAATTATAATGCACCTGCATACAAGTTATTTCTTAACTTATGGACATGAGTTTATAAGTAGTATAGATGTAAAAATAACCTTTACTAGAATATAGAATTTGTTTCAAAAATCAAGAATATTTCAGATTAGGAATAATATCAATTTTAAAATCATCCTAAAAATCAAATACGAGTATAATGAAAACATAGAGACTTACGTTTTAAATTCAACTACAT